TCTGATGGAAGAAGGATTTGGGGATATCTTCTTCCCGGACAAGGGTTTGGGTACAAACATAATTAGGTGCTTTGGTGTCTTACATCATAGAGTGCACTAGGTAAATCTTGGGGAATTGGAGCCTGAAGCAGAAGCAGTGAGGTACCCATGAAATCATCCCCAAGGCTGAAATCATCAGAAATAAGGTAGCATGACACAAGATGCTGCAAGAAGTTACAAGAGATTTGGAAGTCTGTGACCAATTCCCCTGGTCCCAGGAATATAATCACTTCTGTTACAACAGTGCTGAATTCCCAGCCTCTTGATAACTCCAGAGCTCCTGCCAGTTCACACTAATTTCAGCTCATTTCCCCTGTAATTTTGCCTCCTGTTTATTCTGCAGAGGCCTGAACAGCACCGAGCCTTTCAGGTGAGCTGCCAAAACAACATGATGCAACACCGTACGCCCGGTTACCACCCGCTCCCGCAGCGGCTGCCGCCCTCAGCAGCCCCGCGCCTCCGCTCCCTCCTGAGAAGGTAATTTACTGATTAGCTCCCTAGGAAGAGGCCGAACAACAGGATGTGCGACACATCTGTAAAAATTGCATCAACTCGCAGCTGAGTTTCTCCTCGTGCCGTGGGCTTTGCCTGGGCTGCCTGTGATAGTTCATGTTCCCTGAAGAACGAGGGAACGCTACCGCTTCTTAGTTCCATTATGGAAATGTTTTGTTATTTTTATTACTGGTTGCTACAATTACCGATGACCACGTTGGTCACCTCACTTCTGCCTGTCCTTTACAGCAGGTGCTGTGGAAGCGTGAGCAGGTGCCTGTTCCATCACCTGTGGGACCATCTGCAGAGCTCCAGCCTCTGGCCAGATGTTGCCCCAAGCTCCACCCATACAATCCCACCACCAAGGCTTCTCGGTCCAAATTTGGGCTGTATCTCCCAATGTCCCAACCTGAAGTTAGTGAAGGAACCAATGCCAGCATTTATCAGTCCTCTTCAGCAGTTTTATGTGGTGCTCGTCGGGTAACAGCAACTGCAAAGCCCTTAGCAATGCCACCACCCATTGTCGGGGAAAACTCCTCTTAACCAGGGATCAGTCTGGCACAGCACAAAAACCCCCCAACAACCCCACTTACAGAGCATTAAGTGCTTCTGCAACCGATTGGTATAGATCTGATGTCACGGTCAGTTAAAATAACTTCAGAAGCATCGGCTGAACGACATTTATATAGGTGTCAGATGCTATTTGGTTGCCAGGATGTAACAAAAGGCTTTTAGTTTCACTTTACTGATGGGGAAAATGGAAGCTGAGTAATTTAGCAAGGCAGCAACAAGCCAAAGCTGGGTATAGAGTACAGTTGTCCTGAATTAGTGCCCTTCAGACCACAAGGCAAATGCTTCCTGACAGACAGCAAACAACGGTGACAGGGGAGAAAAGGAACAGAATGGAACAATTTCATTGCCAGCATCTCTCCTTTCCTACAGAAATACAGTCTGTGACAAAGCTGCTATCAAGACAGGCATTTCTCACCCCAGCTACCTCCCTGCAGGAGCCACGTACCACAAGCAGAAAGGGGCCCCCAAAATTAACGAGGTCACAAAACCCAAGAGACCAAAGCCACCTTTCCACGAGAGATGAGGGCCCTGTGCAGAAGAAGCACCAGGCTCATCCAGAAAGAGAAGCAGGAACGTGTCCACTGGCGATGGGACCCTCCCAGAGCTCCTAGCCCCAGGAATTGTGCAAATGGGAGGAAAGCGTCGGTCGCTGCATGAGATCCCTGGCAGCCCGTCAAACTGAGAAGCAAAGAGGGAAAAAAACCCCAAAAAACAATGGACATGTTTTTATTTCCTTATGTTCTACAAGGCGAGTTGTTGCCTTACAACGACTGACTCGTTGTGCAACTCAAACACGTCCAAACCCACCTCCCTTCTTCTTCCCCACCCCTGACCTGCACGTCTGGCCGTGCTCGTTGGGTCAGGGCAGCTCCCCAGAGGATGCTCCGAGGGGCACACGGGGCTCATGACTCCTGGGCATGGGGATATTTTGTCACCAAGCCTATATGTACATCCTAATTCTTCCACGATGTCACATTTTTCCATTTCTGACGATATCTAATTGCACGGACTGAACCGAAACACCCAAGCAATGTGTTGCCGCAGCTCCTGAAACAACCACGGGGAAAAGCAGATTCCCTTTACGACAACTCCCCAATGCAGAGAAATAACCAGAAACATTTGTTCTTCTCTGTAGGGAGGAGGTGGTGACCGGGGGGTAGGGAGGGAAAAGAGCTGAAACAATCTGCCAGCAGCACAAACTTTGTTCGCACTCCAATTCTGGCTCAGATGGGAAGCAGCCAGCAGAAAGAAAAAAAAAAACCAAACCCTTAAGAAACAAGGAAGCTGTTCTCATGTTTGTAGCAACTTCAGAAACAGCATCCCCAGCCCCCCAAAATGCTGAGTGGAACGTAAGAAATAAGAGAATGCTTGCTGATGAGACTTTTGCAAAGTATTCCGTGCAAAATCTTTGACTCAAACAGTTTGCAAGATCCCGCAGATATCATGCAACGGGGCTCTGTGGGGAAGAACAAATTGGCATAAAAACCGGACACACTGGACAAAAGCCTTTCGAGTCTGAAGTCCCAAACAATGAAAGGTCTGTTTTATTAATCTGCTGCAAATTATGAGTGCTGCACACACTGTACGAGGCTTCCAGGCTGGTGCTAAAGGAGTTAAAAAAGAAAAAAATAGAAGAGAAATTCTACCAGGACCGTGAGCAGGGGGTTTGCAAAGCCAGGCTCTGTGCTGCTGGAGCTGCTGGGACTCACAGGAGGAAAAGCCGGCAGAGGGCTCGCCCGAGCCAGGGAATCGCTGCGCGGATGCGCTGATGCACATGCAAGGCAGGGAAGATGCAATAAACTGTATTTCCTTCCTTCCCTGACACGACCAGCAGCTCAGAGCGGCAGCCTTGCGAAACAGTTAAACCATAACGATGCTCGCCCACTCGCCGTGCCCCCGACCGCGGCACCAGCGCCCTTTTGCCCCTCTCGCTGTCGTGGGCAAAGGCTCTGCGGGTCTTGGGCAGCACACAGCCTCGTGGCCAAGGGCCAGCATTTCCCCAGGACGAGTTCAAACTCATGGTTTTCAGCAGTTACGCCGTTATTCTGAATCTGTCTAACCACAAAGCAGGGATAAGGACCCTGACTCGGGGTGTGCAGGTGACTTGGGCGCCAGCCAAGGATACGGCTTCTCCACCTACACTGGAAGACTGGAACATATTTCCTGTGAGCATCTTACTGTTGTAACTCAGAAATGTTCACAGAAGCATTTTAATTATATTTTATTTACAAGAAAAAAAAAAAAGCTTAGAAAACCCCTCCAAACCTTCACTTTTTTTCAGAGCAACAGGCAGGTTAAACACTCAGCGTGTCAAGGGAAAAAAACTATTACACACCTTAAATGAGCAGAGGCTTTGGTTGATGTGGATTTGGGGGTTTTCTGGTTTTTAAGTCAAGGCCAAGAAATTTCTAAAGCAACATGACATTCTGTGGAAATGTACGCAACTAAAGATTCAACCCCCAAGCAGTAGCCCAGTGCTAGACCACAGTCTGAAGGGGACGAAAAGCCCAGGAGCCAACAAAATGAAGTCAGTTCCTGGCAACTATATTCAATTCCTCAAAGGTGTCTCTGTAAAATCTTTTCAAGGTGTGCTTTGTGACATTTACGTAGCTTCCAGTTTTCTACGTTCTTACAAACACTTGTCAAAAAAGACTGTGGGGCATCCTATTCGCTGTCAAACCAACGTCGTTCAACAAAATTTGGAAACCAAAAGTCCATCCTGGGCACCCTGCAGCCGCTTTGCCATGTCCTGCTGCTGCCAGAGGAGAGTGGTGGGGTGGGG